AATTTAAGTAAATTGTAAACACCCAGAAGCACAAAGACCGCTAGAATGAAATTTCACCAAAAATCGCCTTGGGTGCTCTCGCAGACGTCCATGCTTTCCATATATATACTGCGGCCAAAAGAAACTGCGTACTTTACTGTGGAGTTTGCTGAATATAAGTCATTTGGGAACAGGTGTAATAATCATATATTCATTGCATTAAAATATTTCCCTTTCTGTTTTATTTCTTTGACATTATTGATACCAAAGAGATGACATTTCAGGCTTTCTGGAAAGCCAAACTTGTTATTTCATTAAAATTAATAATTATTTATGGTCCATAATGTATACATCGCAACGTGTTCGAGGGTCCACATTTCAATGCTATCGAGTATGCGTCTAGTTTTCATAAACAAAACAGCATGGTAAGAGAGGGAAGCCTGGTAGGCGTGTTACATTGACAAAGTCGACCATAACGAAAAACAAAACCAAAAATAGGGCTTGAAATTAAAAAGCAACTTTGCTGACAAAAATTTATGTTGGAGATTAATATAATCATTGGATGAAGAAGAAACGGGATCTCGGCGACATTCACGTGGGGCTCACGAAGGTCCTACATGTACCCTACAGGTTTGTTGATACATGCTATCATTTCTCGTATCTCCATGGCTTTCAGAGAAAAAAGAAATCAGTGCAAACTCAACGTTAAAATGCACTTTTGAAATATAAATTTTTTTGGCATATTAAATTCATTGCCTTTTGAATTGCAAACTGATGGAACTATGTTTGACATTTTGCCGCGATGACGTATGATTTGGTGGATTTTCCTTTCCTACACCCCAATACACAAACGTCAACATTTGTACTTAATCATGTTAAATTCGTCTGAATGCAGACTAATATGTTAAGCATTATTAATTTACCGGAGAGTGGATTCTCAGAATTGATTTTACTTAATATTCCATTATAATTGTAAACCCTACATTGTACATGTTGTATGCACGTGCCATTTTAGATTTCACATGGTACAAGTAAACAGATCTAAGTTGCACGACCGTTGATTTTCCGGCAGATTCTAATTACTAGGAGGGAATATTTATTTTTCTTAAATGCTTCATTCAACTTTTTACCTCATTCCTGAGTTATATATTGGGTAAATTTGAATGAAAAAGCACACGATTTGCAGCCGTATTGCCGCTTTAAAACAACTTGAATTTATAGGAACACATATTTAGTCCACTAATTTTCAATCGGTGTATACGATTTTTCAACGTTGTGTAAAATTTCGGAGATACTACAAGAAGTGGAAAACCACTGTTATTTAATGAAAATAGGAAAGTCCTATGTTGTTATAAATCTAGCGTCGTCGAACTGGGCTTTGCAACATGTGTATATAAGTGTTAATATTGTGTTTATATTGTTTTGATTTTAAAATCTAAGTAACTTAAAATCTATTCATAAATTTTATTGCACTCTCTTGGCAATGTGGCATAATAAAAAAAAGCGTGTTTCCATGAACACGTGATGAAAATTCAAAATCCATATTTTATCGTGAAATAAGTGTCACGTCAGACTGGCCGTGCAGCTTGCATATACAAAGTATTTACACCTATAATGTTATTTAAGGAATCACTGTCTAGTTCGTATAGTATGCCAAGGCATCAACGATAGTGGGAAACGTGGGATAATTTGCATAACGGGCGAATGCGTAAATTATCCCATGTTTCCCACTATCGTTGATGTCCCTGGCGTAGTATACGAACTAGACAGTGATTCCTTATATTTCCGTTTCATTGTGAAATAAAATTGTAGATTTATATTTTTAAAATGTAGACATGGATGTAAATTACACGAGGACTCCCTTGCTAATTTCCATAGCCCTCTCCCACTGACGTCAAACACAAAGACAGCCGCACGAGATTTTCACGCATAATTGGCATTCTTAGCGTCAGACACAGAGACAGATATGCACGAGATTTGCATGCATATTAGGCCTCCCTGGCTCCTGACCTTTTGACCTGCCTAATTTACATTCCGGCAGGTTTATCAAGAAATTAACTCCGCTAAGTTTCAAAGAGTTATCACAGAGACAAAATTAAGAAATGGAAATATTTAATAGTGTAAATTGTTTTAATGTTTTGTATATTTACTCAATAATCGTCTTTATTAAAATATTATCGTAAAAGTTTGGCCTTGCGGACTTTTTGGAAAACCTTCATATTTCTGTCATATTTCAAATATTGTACATTTGAAAAAGAAAAAGAAAATAAATTAACTAAAATAGTTTCTCGCAATTCCCCCCCCCCCTTCACTCAACTAAAATTCACTAAAGAGCTCGGTTCTCTTTATCAATAAAATGACCCCGTAGATATACCAATTTATTAATTAAAACTTGCTGTTCCATTTAGAGAATAAAATGGAGACTTAGTGCTTTCATTTCCTGATAAAAATTTTCTCCTAAAAGTCCATCTCTTAGAGAACTTGCTTTATGAATTAGAATGTTCTTGAATTCTATGGTTAAGATGTATATTTGAGTTCTTTCGGTAAAGAAAAATAATATGAGCGCACTCTGTGATCTAAAAATAAAACATGTCTTTTAATCCTCGGAAACAATTCTATCATTTACTAGTTGCATATTTTAAATCAGAAGTTGCGCTCTATATTATATATTAAAAAAAGCTTTAAAATTGACTGTTTTTGTAAACTTTTTCAGAATATGAGGAAATTGACGCATTTCATGACGTCATAATGCATTAGCAAGCCAGAAGATTACGTCATTTTTGATAGATACGCAAACACAAAGATCTAAATGATATTTAATGCATTGTTAACTAAAACTAAACAGTTTCTATTTCTCAGAAAGCCATAAGTGGACTTTGTTCTTATCTGTACATTATACCTAATACCTGCGACATTCAGAATCAAAGAAAGAGATTATGACGTACATGTAGAACATCGAGACGTCATAATCGGGGTGTATTAACATGAATGTAAATTTTTAAACAACATTGAATTCATATTTTTGGATGTCTTCGGTCCTATAACACACCTGGCCGCGCTGACAAATTGAATAACGCGGTATGATAATTTCTCGGCACGGCCAGTTGTGTTTAAGGACCGAACACATCCAAAAATATGAATGCAATGCTTATATTTACATTCTCTAATTTTCCTTCTTCATAATTGTTTATTTCGTTAATCTTTAACTAGGGAATAACTCTCTTCTAATTTGGTATTTAACGGTCGCAAAATGAGTTTTACCAGTGACGCGTAAGCGTTATTCCCATTCTCATGCAATCCATGCATTTTATTTGTTGTTTACGTCTTATTTTGTTGATTTTCTTTATATGAAATTCGTCTCGGGGCATTGTGTAATTGCATCGCTCTATTATGACGTCAAAAAGCTTTCCCTCTCGTTAATGCTCGTTTTACGACTATCAACGTCAGTACGTTAGCCAATCAAAACGTGCTTTACGAAACAGTTGTAATAGAATGTGAATTTAAACGCCCTTCAAAATACCGTAGTTAATAGATGTAAGAGCCGTTTGTGACGTCAAATGCCATGAAATGACGTTGCAAAGTGAAAAAACGCAAACAAACATTGCGAGGAAAAAGTGAAAAATTAATTTAAAACACACATTACGTTAATTATTACATTAATTTTTCAGGGTTATAGTTTTTCATTAAATTCAGATAAAACATTTTACATTTTGGTGTTCCTTGAGTATTGAAAATGCATATACAGTATATACTCGCCTATAAGTCGTTCCGCCTATAAGCCGGTTGTAATTTTTTAAAGTTTTTGCAGGGATTTGCCTTTGACCCGCTTATTAGTCGGTACAGCTTTTGTCAGAATCAGATGACTATTTCTAATAAATGCTCTGATGATTTTATTTGATTTAAATTAGTATTTTTTAGAATTTTTTTTTTTTAGAAATGAAGTACATATTTAACTTTAAATCATAAAAAATAAATAATACCCTCTTAAGATAACAAAATAAAATTGATAAATACATGCACTCGTATATAAATGCGTGTACTTTATGTAAAGTCTTTGAATACATAAATATTTAATATATCAATACTTTGTTCAACAATAAGTGTTTAAAATGTTTATAGAAAATTACGTTTCACCGTTCAGAAAAACACAGTCTTTTTATGACTCGCCTATAAGTCGGACAAAGACTTGTGGACTAAAGTTCCTTCTGTGTATTCTACGTGGTGACGAGGTGTCGCGTGTGTTATAGAAATTTGAACGTCGTGTATTTCTAACGAATTTCATAAGGAAAGTAACACTGAATGTAAATATAATGTGATGAAACACTGGAAATGGAGAAACTATACAACAGTCAGCATAAAACTAACAATAGTGACTTTACATGAACTATGCCTAAATTGTAGTCAGGGTTTGACATGTAGTGCACCATGTGTCATGTGTCAAACCCTGACTTCTGTTTAGGCATAGTGTATGCAAAGTACAACACTCATATAATTATAACTTCTTTCAAGTTTTATCAATTTTTGTCCTGATTACAAAATCATTTATAGACCAAACTATAAAGAAAGCAATAACAATATTCGTTCGTCTACTTCTTTTGGGACAACATACGTATAACAAAAATACGAGAGGTTAACGAAGTAAAAAGTATTTTCCTCTAAATATTATTTTTTTTTTTGTTCTCAACTATCTTTTTTTTATATGGTTTGACATAGCCCAGGGGATATCATTCACGCTCAGATTAAAATTTAGGTCAATCTATACTTCCTTTTCTGCAGAGGAATATGCATTACATTTTTTGTTTACTATTTAAAGTGTACTTCATAATGATATAGAGGAATAATTATGTTTGGTGTGAGTAAAAACCCAAGTGAAAACATTGGACGAAAGCTACACTCAACAAAGTTTTTAATTGTAATGTTTTCTGGTTTTCAATAAGAACTTAGACTTTCATTTATCCACAACATTTGTCTGTTTCTTCTTGTTTCTATTTATTGCTTATTATTGTTTATTATTCATGTAGATGAAATGAATAAAACCATTGGTGATATAAGGAGTGACGTCAAACAATCTCAGTACGACCAGATGAAGCTGACCTCCACCGTGTCGTCTCTTGAGGTGTTCCGAATGAATGTTACAAGAAATAAATGCGGTAGATTCTTTTATTTAAAAAAAAAATATATATGCCATGTAACTCAAAAAAAAAATGTACCTTAATGACAAAAAAATGATAACTTTCAATTCAACTCAATATGATATTTTTTCTTTTTTTAATTAATGCTATGGTAGATAACTGTTAATATTTCTGTGTTGCAACTCTAGGCAAAATAACATTTACACTATTCTAAACTTGTAGACTTGTCTCGGAGGGTAGCTTTTACTGCTGGAGTGACGTCTAGTAGCACTTCATGGAACAGTGGTACCTTAGTTTACAATAAAGTCATTAACAACGTTGGAGGAGGATACAACCCGAACACCGGAATCTTCACCGCACCAGTGGTGGGAGATTATGTGTTCTACGTCACCATTCAAAGTCACGGTTCAAATGAAATTGACATAGATATTGTCTTGAACGGATCTAGTAAGGTCCGAGCAGAAGCTTACACCTATAGCGCAAACGAAAGATATGATGTGGGTACAAACCTTGTAACATTACAACTACAGAAGGGGGACACGGTTTGGGTAAGATATTACAGTGGTACTGGTTATTACACACACAGTGACGTGCCTACCACCACGTTCTCAGGATTCCTTCTTTGAATCTTTCAATGTCTCTGTATAATATGGAAAATAAAACATAACTCTATTGGCTTTCAAATGAAGTTTTGTTTTTTTATTTAATGTCCTGGATTAAATCAATTATTTATTTGATTTTCATTAAATCATTACATGTATTTGATTTTATAAAGTTTGACTTAATTATATACATATTTCTTGATATGTATCATATGGTAGCATTCGATTTCAAATTCTGTAATAGGATATTTATTTCAAATATTTATAATCAAATAAATCAAAGGAATAAATTAATCAATTTGTAGCGATTACCATTAACTATCTCAAAAGGTACCATAAATTATTGAAGAAATGAAAATAAAGAACAAAAGTCTCAAAACGAATCTATAAACGTAACAAATAAGTGAACAGAAGAATATAGAGATAACGAACAGTATTCAATCTCAAAGTCCATAAAACAATACAAAATAAGAGCAGAGCAAACACGGACCCCCATAACATCGGAGGTTGGAGCAGGTGCCGTGGAGAAGTGAGCATCCCCTGACGACCGGTCACACCCACCGTGTGCTCCTTGTCATGATCAGGAATAACGGAAAAATCCGTCGTCAATTCAGTGTATATATAATGGACTAACAATTGGTATGAAAAACGCCAGACAGCATTTGACTCAATGATAAACGGTATTTGCTGACAAGGTCATTGTATCGACTATAGAACTTACGAAATGATGACTTTAACTGAGACTGCTGATATTCTTGTTTCGTCAACTTGCTTGTCAATAATTTACCTCGTTTTAGAAATTGTTCATGCGTAGAGCATGCTCTTGCATATCGAATCAACTGAGATAAATATACTCCGTGTGCAGGAAATGATGGTATATTGCTGCATAAGTAAGGGAAGTTGACGATGAAAAAGTTAAAGTCATCACGTTTATCATATAGCTTGGTTGTTAGATTACCATTTGTGTCTTTTTCAAGTAAAATATCCAAGTATGAAGCAGAAGTGTCGGATTCTGTGGTATCTTTTATCTCAAGCTCACCAGGATATATATCATATCGCCGCAGGAATGGAAATTATCATAAGATTATTAATTGACAATACGTCGTCGATATATCTAAATGTCGAGTTGAAGGCCACGGCAAGTGTTTTCTTCTTTACACGCATGAGATTTTGCATAAATTCTGCTTCATATGAATATAAAAATAAGTCTGCTAATAATTTACTAATGCTGCTAATAAAAGCGGAATTTGTACCCATGGGAATTCCAATGGATTGTTGGAATACCTGGTCTCCAAAAACCACTTAGATGTTGTCAAACAGAAAGTTAACTCAAGCATCTTCTTGATGTCAACTTCAGAGTACTTATGTGTGCAATCAGAATCTGTTTTAACAAAATAATGTTGCTCATGACTAATGACGAGGTACGTAAATTAACGAGTTCCATTTTTATTGAAGAAGCAGCTGTCAACGATATCAAAAAGCCTGGATTTTAATTTGTCGTGGGGAATTGTTGTGTATAAAGTTGAAAAGTCGTTAGTTTTTAAGCTGTTGATTTTTATAAAGTCTTGCGATTTCAAAGTGCCTAAAAGTTCTTTAGAATTTTTTAGTATCCACATCTGATTCACACCACTTCTTGAATATATAGTTGCACAGCGCTCTTGAAGTTTTTCCTTCACTACTGTCAATATCTTAGTGAAGAGTAACGAAGAGTAACGAAAGAGGCTTGGTTGAACATTTACTGGAACCTGCAAGCTGCATTTTCTTCCGTGAACCGTGCGGGTTTAAAGAGCCTATGATATGCAATATCTATAATCACAGATCAGAGTCTATATTCAGGTGACGAGGAATCTATAAAACACAGATACCAGGTGTGAAAATTAGCGACATCAATCAACCAAACTTGTAAGAGATTTATTAGGACCCTAACTGTGAAAATTAGCGACATCAATCTACCAAACTTATAAGAGATTTATTAGGACCCGATACTCCAAACCACACTTTAAGTAAATATGTTTTTTGGCATAGAGCAGATTAATATCTGATTTGAATTATGCAAGTAGTTGTAGAGTGTTTCGGCTATTAAGAAGCCTCATCAGGGGTCACGGACATAAATCATGATGTTTGTTTTAGGTGAGACCGGATTATCTCGTCACCTATATTCTTATGTTTGCTGTAAGCAATGATTGGTTGAGAATTAAATAAAGTTTTGCATTCTGGATTTCTAAGAATGGTGTTCCAATATTTTAGAATTCGTTTTTTCAGTCCTTTAACGCAAGGGTTAAATTTAGTAACCAGTACTGTAGGGTTACGTAATGGCTGTTCTGTATTTTGTTTGATGATGAGTTTTGATCGGTTTGTGTTGATCGTTTCTTCGATAGTAGGATCAATTTCCGAGGTAGAGTAGCCTCGTTTTGATAAGTGCGCCTTGAAGTCGTTGAGTGTTGCATGTAATATTTCAGGGTCGGTACGTAGTATTTCTTGCATGTCTAATGCATTCTCCTTTAATGAATCCTTTAAACACAGCTGGGCTATGAGCGCTCTGTCTGTGTAGATATTGAAAGTTATTTGTTGGTTTGATAAACGATTTGATATCAAGTTTGTTAAGATTTTGAAATTTCGGTCCCTTGTAAACTGTAGTATCAAGGAAGTTTACGGCAGATGGAGAAATTTCAAATGTAAATCTTAGATGCTTGTGACAGTGATTGCCGATATTGAAGAATTCTTCTATCTCTGATTGCGTTCCATTGAATATTATGAAACCGTCATCACGGTATCTGAAATTTCTCCATCTGCCGTAAACTTCCTTGATACTACAGTTTACAAGGGACCGAAATTTCAAAATCTTAACAAACTTGATATCAAATCGTTTATCAAACCAACAAATAACTTTCAATATCTACACAGACAGAGCGCTCATAGCCCAGCTGTGTTTAAAGGATTCATTAAAGGAGAATGCATTAGACATGCAAGAAATACTACCGACCCTGAAATATTACATGCAACACTCAACGACTTCAAGGCGCACTTATCAAAACGAGGCTACTCTACCTCGGAAATTGATCCTACTATCGAAGAAACGATCAACATAAACCGATCAAAACTCATCATCAAACAAAATACAGAACAGCCATTACGTAACCCTACAGTACTGGTTACTAAATTTAACCCTTGCGTTAAAGGACTGAAAAAACGAATTCTAAAATATTGGAACACCATTCTTAGAAATCCAGAATGCAAAACTTTATTTAATTCTCAACCAATCATAGCTTACAGCAAACATAAGAATATAGGTGACGAGATAATCCGGTCTCACCTAAAACAAACATCATGATTTATGTCCGTGACCCCTGATGAGGCTTCTTAATAGCCGAAACACTCTACAACTACTTGCATAATTCAAATCAGATATTAATCTGCTCTATGCCAAAAAACATATTTACTTAAAGTGTGGTTTGGAGTGTCGGGTCCTAATAAATCTCTTACAAGTTTGGTTGATTGATGTCGCTAATTTTCACAATTTTAGATGTGGGATCAGATGCCTACAGCAGTAAGAATTCCCTGTTAACAGGTAACATCTGTTGTAAGCCCTTTTTATTGACTAGATATATGGAACATTCCATAGTACATTTAGTCATTATAACTATGCTCACCGTCAATAGAAACGCAACACCCTAATTTTAGGGTGAAAATTATGTACAGGATATAACTATGTACCAAAAAAGTTAGGACATCTTTAACTTTGCTAAATCAGTTTGTTAACGGATGAATGATTTTCATTCCATTGCCGGAAGTTGATTTTTAGCCCTCTTAACAAAAATCAAATATTATCATTTTTGATAAAATATTTGACAATATTTTGGGGTTTTAAGGTTTTGTACCTGTTAATCATAAGTATAATAATTGTACTAAATTCTAGGAAATTTTTTTTTCCGGATGTGATACCTGTATATCCTCAAATCTACCGATAGCAAGTATTTACATTGATAATGCTGGAATAATGCTGAAAATTCTGAAAAAAAAAGAAAAGAAAAAGGAGAGCTACAGATGCAAATATACGCTACACAACGACTTTTTGGGCTCATGTATTTCAAAAGCATGAATGACAGTTTATTTATCTGTACAACAGGCAACTAAAAATGCCAAAGAATATTTATTTCGCTCCTATATAGACATTGATAAACCTAATGCATAGTAAAAATCGGACTGCGTATGTTGTACATGACGGACTAGCATGTTTTGATTAAATAGTCAGAAGGGGGATGTTTTATTTAAATGTTATCTGTTAAGAGGGCTAAAAAATCAACTTCCGGTAATGGAATAAAAATTATTCAACCCTTAACTAACTGATTTGGCAAAGTAAAAGATGTCCTAACTTGTTTGGTACATAGTTATATCCCGTATATAATTTTTCTCCCTAAATTAAAGTGTTGCGTTTCTATTGACGGTGAGTATACAATAAAATACGTAAAATGCCGACTTTAATTAAGATTGCTTAAATCCGTGAAACATCAACATATCTGACAGTAGCCTGTCTTTGTTTAAAAATTAATTGCACTCAGTAGCAGATAAGTTTGGATATGAAAACATCATATGCACGGGATAGGAATACATTTCCACATAAAAAGGAATGTTGACCTATAGCAAAGTTGAAGTCATCTCATTTGTCATAAAGTTTAGTTGTGAGAGTTGGTCCTGATCATCTATATATAGTTAGAACACCACGCATTCATTTAAAGAATGTTTCCACTTAAGCATCGTGCCGTGGCCCCTTTTTAGGACCCCTCTAACTTTATCTAATGAACTCAAATCTTAATAATTTTACACCTAACCGATATTTTGTTATCAGTGTGGTACATTACTTGCAAAAATTTTCATTTATAACCGCACTTAAGTTTTATTTAAGATTATTAAAAAAAGCTCTAGTGGATGTTAATTCCGGAATGTTGCGCTTGTCCGAGTTGGATTTTAATTGTGTCACATTAATATTCGGAGTGGGCGGGGCATTTTATCGATCTATTGAAAGCATCTATAAATAGCCAGTTATAATGTAAACACAAA